CTTTTAATCAAGTGAAAAGATCTCATTGTTTCTTATGACTGAGTAGTATTCCATAATATGTATGTGCCATGGGTTTTTAGTCCAGTCATCAGTGCTTGGGCACTTAGGTTGATTCCATGTCTTAGTAATTGTAAATGATGCTGCAGTAAACATGATGGATATGAAAGCATCTTTCTGATTGAATGTGTTCCTATCCTTTGGGTAAATACCATGGAGTGGGATTTCTGGGTCATATAGTAATTCTGTTTGCAGGCTTTTGGGGAACCTCCATATTGTTTTCCACAGACGTGCTAATTTACATTCCTACCAACAGCGTAAGAGGATTCACTTTTTCACGATAGGCTGAACTAACATTTGTCTTTATGTTTTTGATCATAGACATTCTGGCTGGAGTTAAATGGTGTCTTGTTGTGGTTTGACTTGTATTTCCATTATTATAAGAGATATTGATCATTTTTTCATGTGCATTTTGGCCATCTGCTTATCTTTCTTGGAGAGTTATCTACTCAACTCATTGTCCCATTTTTTATTTGGATTATTCATTTTGTTAAAAATTTTATCTATTTATTTAATGCCATTTTTTTCTTCTGAAAATTTTTTTTTTATTAATTTACGTTCATTCCCTGAGCATCATCACAACATACTAAATGTGGTTTCCCATCTAGAATATACTGCATAGTGGCTTAATAATAAATGTTATCATCCATAATATTCCATTTCTACTTTCATATATATATGTGTTTTTACCCCATGTCTAACCCTCTACCCTATTCCACTGTCTTATTACACTATCTCTGCTGTCTACAGTTGCCCGGCATGAGTTTAAGCCACTGGGTCTGGGACTCGAACTGCAGTTGACTACATGGGAGCCCAATGACATAGATATTACACCAACTGCTGTTCCCTTATTTAATTTTAATTTGACCAGAAATAGGGATGGAGGGAGAGAATGTGAGAAAACAAGCTGCTATGTCCAGGACCTGAACCACACTTGGTCATGTAAGAATCTAGAACCTTAACCAGCATGCCACCTGCCAGCATGGATGATTAATTTTTTTTGTAGGTGAGCTGGTTGACTTCTTTATGTGTTCTGCTTATCAATCCCTTGTCTGAAGTGCAGTTTGCAAATTTTTCTCCCATTCCAAGGGTTGTCTCTTCACTCTAATTATTGTTTGTTCTGCTGAGCAGAAACTTTTACCTTGAGGTAATCGCACTTGCCTATTGCCTGTACTTTAGGGGTCTTATTTAAGAAATATTTGTCTTTTCCAATGTCCCAAAGAGTTTTCCACCAGTAGTTTTATAGTTTAAGACTTTACATTTAGGTCTTTGACCTATTTTGAGTTGAGTTTTATTAGGGCAAAATATAGGCATCCAGTTTCATTTTTCTGCAGGTGAATATGCAGTTCTTCCAGCACTGTTTGCTAAAAAGACTTTCTTTTCTCCATTACATTGTCTTTAACCTTGTTAAAGGTCAGACAGTTTTACGACTTGAGATTTATTTCTGGATTCTCTACCCTGTTTCATTGGTCTGTGTGTCTGATTTTTTTCTAGTACTGTGTTAATGATTCTTCAACTTTGTTTATCCTCTCAAAATACTAGCTTTTTGTTTCATTGATTTTTTTTGTATAGTTATTTTTAAATTCTTTAGTTCATTTACTTCAGCTCTAACTTAGAGTTCTAAGACAATATAAAGGAATTTTAAAAAACTTAGACTATTTTATTGATTAATTGGTATTCATAAAACAGATGAGGCTGTCAGTCTAAGCCTAATCCCCAAAGAGAAACTTTCAACTTAAAATGGTTTAAGTTCTAATACTGAGTATCTATTCTAATCTTAGCTGATTCTTCTCAGTGGTAACCCAATTCATATGATGTCAAAGGGCAAAACTTAACAACTTTTTTTGGGGTGGAGAGGTTTTTGCTTTAGGGTGTATGTGCTTTCCAGCCAGACAGAGAGAGACAGAGAGACAGAAAACAAGAAATCGCCTTCCAGGGGTTTGGCTACGCTGCAGTCCCTTCTCCTCCATTCTCCTCTCAGGATCTTGGGCATGCACGCACACGTGCCCGGCGTGAGTTTTAAGCCACCAGGTCCGGGACTCAAACTGCAGTCAACTACATGGGAGTCCAGTGACATAGCCATTACGCTAACTGCTGGTCCCAAAACTTAACAGTATTTACAGTTTCTCCATAACTCCACCCCAATACTTTTGAATATTTTAAGCTACTAAGATTTAGATGTCCTAAATACTGCATTTTTATCAGAAGGCCAAAAGGTATAATAGCCCAAAAACTAAGGGAAAAAAAGGATTTTATAAATTTATTGTTCATAGTTGAAGCAATCAAAAGAAAAAAGTGAATCATATGCATGTGTCTGGCCTTCCAGGGGTATCATTCTGAAGAAGTTTCATGTCCATTTAAATATTAAGCTTCCTCTGCAACCTTGATTTATAGTACTGTACAGCATTTTCACTTTTGGAAATACGAATGTCGGTTAAAATTCTAAGCCCCCAAAAACTTGTTTCTTAGATTATGGTTGTGATAATATATGCCCACAATTAACAATAAAAATTAAGTTTTGGGTGTCGAATGTAGAAGTGTGAAGGACTTAGGTTAGTCGAGAATTCTATTTGGATATCAGAAAGAAATCCCTTCCACCCTCCCCCCCCCCCACCCCCCCACACACAGTGGCTTAAACAAGGTAGAAAGTGTTTTTTCTCTCATGTAAAAGAAATTTAGAGTATTATAATTCCATTGTCATTATGTAACCAGGCTCCTCCTTTCTTTCTGCTTAGGAGCCCTGGAACATGGTTCCTCTTCTCTTAGGGTCACTCGTGGTCCAAAATGGCTGTTGAAAGTCCAACTATCACACCACATCAACAACAATTAGAAGGATGGCAGGAAGGGCAAAATGCCCATATTCTTCTAGTCTTTTGTTCCCCTTTAACATGCTTTCCTGTCCTGTAGTTTACTCTATAACTTTCCTGTGTATTGTATTAGATACTACCTGGGTCAGTACAACAACTAGCTATAAGAAAGATTGTAATAATAATAATATCACACAAAGCAGAATATTTGTTTTTGAAGGGCGCAGCCTACAGCTTCTGTCATAAGACTGGAGGAGACAACTCATCCAGATTTTCAGGGTTAAGCTGGTAGCCCCAGAGTGCCCAGCGCTCTGTCTGGCTAGACAGGAGAGTCACAATCAGAACCTCGATGACTTGCTGACCTGTATTGACTAGAAGGCTCACAAGTGCTTCTACTAATGATACATTGGAAAAAGTGATAGTAAACCAGTGTAGCATTAATATAAGAGCTTTTCTTGGTCTCTTTACCAGTATCCAATCCCCACCCATCTTAAATATTTCAGAATATTATTGCCTGCTTATTTGGTAAACTTTTTTTTTTTTTTTTTTTTTTTTTTTTTTTTTTTTTTTTTTGCAG